GAGAAAGGTTATGACTTCAAATCATCTTTTGAATTGGATAAATCTATGATTCTCGTGAACATTGCAGGCATGTGAAGAATTTGTAACTGTGTTTTTGTTGTTATGCAATTGAATGAGTGTGTGGAAGCAGGAGCGTGGCTGCGGGAGAAAAAGCAGCAACATGACACTTTTCCCAAGTATGCAACACCGGCTCTCTTGTCTACGGACATTAGAAGCAAGGCGGAGGCATTGGACAAGTCAGACGAGGATATCGCTTTTGTAAACTGAGGATTTTAAGGACTTGAGATTTATGGTTCCTTTGTAATGGTGAAAAGATGTTTGGTAACAAAATATTTAATCCTTCTAGTTTGAAGAATAAATGAGAGTTTTTTTGTTTTGTGTTGTAGGATTTTGAGTTTGTAGAAGAAGAGTCTAGGAATGTTTTTGTTGTATTTTGAACGGTTATTTTGTGTTTTTAGGTACTTATGTGTACAGGCGCGGGACTCGAGGCGTCGGATTGAAGATTTCTCCGGTGAGAATGGAAGCTCACCTCCGAGACTTTTCCTCTCCTCTCGACGCTTGTGAGCTTCATGGTCGTAGCCCCCTCGGGCTCCTTGTTCCCCTGATACCTACATCCATCCGGGTGAAGCATGACTTGGCCTGTATCTTCTCCACTGCTCGTTGTACCGAGATGATGGGTGCTCCACTGAACCGCAAACTCTCGACCTCGCCGGATGGTAAGTTTCGAGAAGGTCGGAACTCCGCTCCCTCCATGTCTTGGGTGAATCCAGACTCGGGAGAGAAAGAGCCCCCTGAACCGCCGGATCCTCCGGACCCTCCGCGGTGGCCACATCGTCGTTGTATCTCCCCATCTCCACCACCGTCCTCCATCCTAGCCTCTCGGAGATTCTAGTCTCCACCGTGCCCCAACCTCTCCTCCCCTCACCGTCGTCTGCTTCCGTCGCAAAACTATCGAGATCTTAGCGGCACGAGATCTGATAGGTATGATAGCTCTCGAAGGTTGGTACTATCATCTCCTGGATCCATCTCCTCGCAATCCCGGCTTCGAGACTCTGTGTCTCATCCCCGATTTCGAAGCTTGATGAATCCACCTTCCTCTCCCTCTCCGCAATCTCAGATCGGTTTTGCCGGTAAACTTCTCTGCTCGAGCAGAGATGCTGTGGTGACGAATCCCAGCTTCCCGACACCCTTCCCGGCGGCGAGTCGCTCTGAACACTCATCGTCGTCTCTCCATCATCACGCCGGATTCACGAACAACCGTCCCCCTCTCGACAGTAATTGTTGGGCTTGGGTTATTAAGATAAGTGGGCTTTGTTGGGCCTGGGTTATTAAGATAAGTGGGCTTTCGAGCCCATTCAAGATCCAGCTTGGTGATATTTGGGGCCTGGCCCAGGACGATTATATACGGCTGAAACCGAGTCCTGATTTCATCCCAATGAGTTCCAAATCTATGATTTCCAAATCTGATATCTTCTTTTATGAGAGAAAAAATATTTTTTGAATTCTCAAATCCTATAGTTCTTAGTGTTTATATTTCTTCTAGTGTGAGAAAACAAAAGTTTTCTGGTTTCTCAAACCCTGTAATTTACTCCCGGTGGAAAAGTCAAATTCTACCATCTTCCATCTCTTTGAGATTGGTTGTATCTTCTACCCCCTCTTTGAGAATGGTCGAACTCCCGAGCTTTTTGCCGGGATCTTCAAAGTCACATTCAAATGTGACTACCCTGAGACTCTCCGGCCTTGCTGCGAAGTCCCTCTGGACGCTTCCGAGGCATACCTTGGATCCGCTGTCTAGCATCTTCTGCGATGATCTATCTGTTCTAAGTTTTATTGCATTTCAATTATGTTGTAGTAATGCTGGAGGATGCTTAATTCCCTCCCTTGTACTTTGATCGGTGAATGAAGTAACTTTGTTGACAAAAGAAAGGTACTTATGTGTACCTGAGATAATTAAAGGTAATATTGAACTCATATTTTACGTTAATTGATTTCGGTACTACTGGTGTTACTAGGTACTACTGTGT